AAACTTGATTGGCTAAACATTTAGTGAACCCATTCTCTGAGTGTGGATTTTTACTTAAGTCTCTTTCACACTACACAGTCGTAGCACTTTGATATCACTTTAATTGCCATGGCTCTGTTCTGTGGAATACTGGGATTTGTAGTTTTGTGAGATATTAAGAATTCTCTGTATTTTGAATTCTTCTCTACTGATTCACCAAACTACAAAGATTCCATCAGATACAGCATTTGTCATGGATATAGCCATTGCAAGTGAAATCAAAGTGCTATATTTGTGTTGTGTGAAAGAGACCTTGACCAAAATAGCACCACCCACAAATAAAAAGGGAGATATTCTCAGGCTTGGAGGAACCCTAAGGTTTTTAGAAATATGAAAAGTATTTAGAAAAAAACAGAGGGAACGCCCAAATATCCAAATTGAGGACCATACTTACTAGATATAAAAGGCTGGTACTCATTCGAAGCATGATAAGGGAGAGAAAAGTTTGAGTATTTTGGAAGAGCGTATGGCTGCCTTGCTGAAGAGGACTGTTCCAACCTGCAAGACTTTTTTTTTTTTGCAGGTCCTACTTTTTAATATATTGAGTAATAAAATAAGAAAATATTTTAGATGACTACATAAATGGGAACAACACTCCATCTATCCTAGGACTTTATCACACAAACTCAAAAAGTGGAATTTTAAGAGAATAAAAGTGTATTTGGCTGGTACGTATCACAAGACACCATGTTTGTCCTGTTGCTGCCTTGCATTCCATTCATTACTGTAGTGCACCTTTTCATTGATGGGCAAAACCCATCAATAGGCTCTCAATCTCACTGCTATTCTATCACTGCAACAGGTCCCTTCTGCTGCAGTTCTGTTTCTTAGGCAGTCATATAGTATATGGCTGTGATTCTTCTCCTCTTGCCCCTCCCCATCCTTCAGCAATTGTGGCTACCAACAGCTTCCCAAAGCTGGTTGGTGTGTGCACATTCTTCAATCACTGTGGGAAGCACTTGACAGCTGAAATTGCTTGGATGGGGCCACTGTGTGAATGTACACACAGCAGCCCTACACTTTGGGAGGGAGGGAGAAGCAATCATGGCTGCTAACCACCTCCTGAATACAGCTGCTGTGTACACATTCATATAGCAGCCAACTTCAGGAGCCCGTTGGTAGTCACAATCGTTTGTTTCCACCCTTCCTCCTAGAAAGCAGCATTTGCTAATGTGAAAAACAGAACATGCAACCAAGGATCACCAAAGCACTACTATGGAGAAAAGTGTGATAAGAAATTATGCCAAACCGGTATGCTTCCATTCTTAAACCAGCACAATTGTTGCAGGACAGCAGGCTGGTATGATAAAGTCCAGAGTATCATAACTAATACTAGTTGAGAAGACTGTATTGGACATCTTTCCATTATAAGCTCTGCCTATTTGTGATGCAACAACACAAATTAACTCAAGACAGTTAATACACTCCATACAATAAATTTAGAAAAGCAAAGCAGAAAAAAATCATAA